CAACAACGATTATAAGTGCACAACTCTCAAATGTTTTGTTCAAGCCACTCGTTCGAATCCATGTGAAGCAGTACCATTATACTGACAAGCAAGTTCTGCCACCTCTGAATTGAAAATCTGCATTCACAAGCAACATGTTTTCTCTTGTCCCGATTATAAATAAATGTTCAGTATCCGGCTGGGTCATATTGTTTCTCTCCGGGGAGGCTGCTACCTATTTGAAGATATTTTTCATTCTGGTGTAAGAAGGTTCAGTTTGAAGGAAGTCTTCTGTGGCAGAAGTAGAAGCAGTATATTGATGCTTTGCTGTGTGGAACGTAAGTTGTTTTGGCAAGCACTGTTCAAGAAATAAACGATTGATTACATCGTTGCTGTTTCTTTTTTTTTCACGTTTTCTGTTTTCCTTACGACATTTTTTATGCAGAAAATTGCCTCCAGTCATATGTTGGATTGTTTATTTTTTCATTTTCGGCATGCATGATATATTCTCACAAAATATTGACTAAAAGTGTCGGAGTCTGGCCAATGGGCCCTCCTCTGGACACCCCTGGAGTGCCAGTCTAACCGACAGTTCCTTTAGGAGTGCCCGCCCTTGCCCCCGTCTTTCACAGCAGCTGCTTTTCTTAGTGAAAATGCTTGGTGCCTTCTTTTGACAAAGTACTTGCTCACTTATAATTTGCATTATATCTTTTCTTTAAGAAACAAAAGTGATGTTCTTGTCAAACTTGCACTACCCCATTCTAATACAGACTAAACAAAAGAAGCATGAGTAAGATTAATTACTGTGCTCACAACCAGCATATTACATGTTGCCTTATTTGTGGCACTGCCTATAAATTGTTTTCCTTGGTTATACTTATACAATTTTATCCAACTAAATTTTTCACAGTGGACTGGTGTTGGTTGGATGATTTTAAAGCTTCGTCATCTGCGCTTGATATATTGGCGTGCACCATATCGAGGCTCAATTAAACTTTCTACAACCTGTAATTTTTCGCTAATTCTTTTATAACAACATTATAGCTTTGACTGTGCCAAGATTACTTTAATCTACTTGGATATCATGTCATACCGTCATTGGCCTTGCCCCCTTTTCATTTTGTAGAGGACCATCGAAACGATTGGAATTCAACTGCCCACAAGATCTTCTGACGTCTAATATTTTTTTGTTGTTGTTGTTAGTGGTCCCAGAGCTGTACCCAGAAGTTTTTGTTGCTTCAGCTGATGTGAAGGCGTGTAAATATTTCAGTATCACCGGAAAAGTTAAAGCATAAAAAAATTAAATTTCGGGGGGGGGGGGGGGGTGGTGTCAGAACCCCCTTCAAACCCCTTTAGTTACAGCTCTGTGTGGTCCTTACTTCAACAAAACCGTACAGGCAAGCCCGGTTGTCAACCTGTTTCGGAAACTGCGATTCGGACTCCCGTTTTCTAGGTTATGCTATTTTGCATGAGCAAATGGATGAATTCAGGCAAAAAATATCTATTCCCTATTGCAGAAGTGGGGCTAGTAATGTGTTGTCTATGCATGAAGAAAGAGAGTAAGCACACAAATCTGCCCATTATCCAATGAGGGTCATTGAGTGGCCCACTTGTTCAGGTGAAAATAGAGGAATGGTGTAGTAGGAATTGTCAGCTCTAGTTTTGAAGTAGGAAGTGTCCGCTTTCCACTGCATCTCACCACACAGCCTCCCCCCATCTAGCGTCATCAACAATCAGAGCCGAACGTACAAGGGACAAGAAAGGGAAATAGCGCTCGTCTCTGTTCCTTCTCTAGCTTCCGTACAGCGCTGATTGTTGAAGATGAATAATCAACTAGCCCAATCTCAACCCAATTACCCCTTCAACGAACGACGCTGCCTTGTGACAAGCATACCAGTTCTTCAAAACTACTACTTACTACCACATGAGATGACATAAATCCATAGAGTTGTTCCACTGTGATCGAAGAACTCGGGACGCACCGAAAAGCGAACTTGTTGTCACTATAGCGTCTACTCTGCGTAAGAGAGCTGGGTCGTACTCCCAGAGATTCGGAGGAGGAAAATACGTTTATTTCTGCAGAAATAGCATGATTGATTGATTGATTTGTGTGGTTTAACGTCCCAAAACCACTATATGATTATGAGAGACGCCGTAGTGGAGGGCTCCGGAAATTTCGACGACCTGGGTTCTTTAACGTGCACCCAAATCTGAGCACACGGGCCTACAACATTTCCGCCTCCATCGGAAATGCAGCCGCCGCCGCCGGGATTCGATCCCGCGACCTGCGGGTCAGAAGCCGAGTACCTTAGCCACTAGACCACCGCGGCGGGGCCGCAGAAATAGCATACTTTCCTTTCGCCCCGCCGCGGTGGTCTAGGGGCTAAGTTACTCGTCTGCTGACCTGCAAGTCGCGGGATCGAGTCCCGGCTGCGGCGGCTGTATCTTCGATGGAGGTAAAAATGCTGTAGGACCGTGTGCGCCGATTTGAGTGCACGTTAAAAAAAACAGGTAGTCAAAATTTACGAAGTCCTCCACTACGGCGTCTCTCATAGTCATATGGTGGTTTGGAGGCGTTTTGGTAGAATATACATATTCTAGTACACTGTAATATACATAGAGCATAGAGTAACATAGTTGCCCCCACGGAGGAAGGAAAGGTAAGGAGAGGCCCTGACGTCACTCGTTGTGAACCCACGATGAAGCCGGAAGTCGGCCATATTGACTGGCCAAAGTCTCCTCTCTTGTTTACATATCAATGCGAAGCAGAAGGCGCGATTCCCTCTCTGTCTCGAAAAGCACGTGGCCTGCGCGCCGCGTGCGCTGGTGCTATCCGAAACCAACGGAACGCATTTCAACACGCCGTCTTGCCGCGATACGGTTGACGAAATCTCTGCGTGTGGCTGTTGTACTCTTGCACTGCTGGCGTTTACGATAAACACGGCAAGTTGCACGTTAAGCTTTTTTTCTTATTTGATGTGCCCTTTGTGAAAATAAAGATATTTCGGACATTGCCGCGCGACGAACCAGGGACCGAAATTTGTACAGCTTCTTTCAGATCACTGTTTCCCCCTTTTGAGCTTTTCTTTAGGGTTTATAAAATTTTCGGTCAGGCTGCGGGCTAGACACAGCGATAAAAAAAGAAAAAAATATCTTCCCTGCAATAAACCCGGAGGTCCGTAATTATGCCAGTAATGTTGGCGTCGGTGGAGCTTGCGTGCGTGGCAGCCTGTTGAGTTTGCGCCGGCCTCTTTGTCTTCGCCCCTCTTTTGTCTGACGCGCACTGGTTTCTACGGATATCCCAAAGGGCATGATTTCATTAGAACGAAAGCAGCGAAGACCACCCGAAAGTGCGTGGGAACACGTCTCCAGTGTGACTCACGCGCACTAGTAGCTACGCAGAACGGAGACCAGGATCGCGTTAGGGCGAAAGGTGGGAAAGTTAGCCGAAGGAATGCGTGAGAAAAGGTCAACATCACTTCGTCCACATCGTTCGAACGGCTTTGTCAGCTTCTGAATGCACAAGCACGCGCATCTAGTGAGGTGCACCTAGTTACCTTGTGCAGGTGCGTGTAGAAATTTTAACGAGTTTTGCTACAATACAGACAATATTGCGGAGAGCGAGATAATATTGCGAAGAGGGAGCATCTTAAGCGAAGCAGAACAGGAACTTTAATGCGCAGAAGCATGTGGTAACTGTATAGTAACATGAAAAGCAAGATTAGATTACAGTCTTAATAAGGGCCTGTGGTCCGCAAATGCATCGTCCGTTGTCATAAGAAGCAACACCGCATAACTGTCACTAGCCTGCAAAGCATTCATTGAACGAATTCTTGAGCACAGTCATTATTTTCTATGATGGCTTTTCAGCATAATTTTGACGGACGCTGCAAATTCGAAGTACGTATACGCGCGCTCGTTCCGTGGTTTCTAGTTCAGACACCTGGTTACAACCACCACCGGAGGAAGATCGCGTAGCTAACAATGCGGCACAAAGAATGGATGCTGTCGAGCACCTGCAGTACGCCACGGTTCGGTGCGAGGCCCATGATAACGCGCACACCGCCGCTGGACCGCCTGAACGGTGCCTCACCGCACTACATCAATAATAACAAAACGCCGCCATTGTGCCCAGTGAATATGGCCGCGCGTGACGTAATTTTCGCCACACTAGGTCCGTTCGATTCGCTTGCACCACGTGAAACAGTTCAGGAGGTGCTGCACCTTACCATTCGTTTCAGCGGTGCAGCATTGACGACCGCTGAACCCTGCTATTCGTTTCGAAAGGTGCAGCACCGGTTCACGAATTTCCTGCACCTCCTTCACTGACGGTGCCGGCTTGGTGCAGGCGCGCGTGCAGCTGAGCAGACGACGCAGCACTTAGACGTAGGTGGCTTAGGCGCCGTACCCGCCTCTACAAATGCGAAGTGTTTTGCCAAGATGTTTGCGCCTCATAAATTGTCCGCATGTGCGTTTCGCCATAGGTCAGTGTTTACTCAATGGTGTAAATTAACCGAAAAGAAATAAGGCCAACACCTTGTCGGCATATCGTCATTTTTTTCGGGTGTCGTGCTGTGCCTGCACCGCTGAACTCACACTGCACAATTTCTGAACTTCGCGTGCACAGCCATGAACCGGTTCCGACCGGTGCAGGTGAATCGAACGGACCTACTTTTTACGCCCTGCGCCGTACATTCCAGCCACTGTACTGCGCCGGCTGGCCATGCCCTCTCCTTACCTTTCCTTCCTCAGTGGTTGTCCCGCATTTCAATCGTATTTTCTTTCTCAATCAGTTTCGGTTTTATTTTTTTGAGGGTTGGCTCACAACAAATAGATGAAATAGATGAAATAACAATTTTAACCAAAGTGTCAAATAATATCCACTATTAACATTAGGCAAAAGCGTTGTTTTTGAAAACCTAAATGCGACTTCACTGCAGTGAGGTACGTTTTAATTGCAGCAAATACGGAGGAGTTATCGCGCTAATCTGCTAACATTGGAAATGCGCTGCCGCCGCGGACTCGGGAGATTTGGGCGGGGAGCGCTGAGCTAGGCGTCAGGTCGTCGTATGGGCAGCTGTCATTTCGGCGAGCTGTGTAGCGCATCTGCTCGGCGTGTGTGAACCGAGTGTCCCATGTAAGTGTGGCTGGCTGTCGATCTACGGCGCTCATTCCTGCATGTCAGTGGCGTGCTCGAGTCTTGTGGCGTGCAACGTGATGGCTGGTAGTCGAAACTAGGATGAACCGATCGACGTAGTACGTCCAATGCGTCATTACTCGAATTGACCCTTTAAATAGGATACTACAGGTTAATAGACTTCAGCCGAGAAGGATGAGCGTGCTTTTCTTTGAATGACGTTGAGCTTTGCACGAGTATACCTTCGTTACTCAAGAAATAATCATCAGTGCGCGCAATCATTGGTGCACGCGTTTTTCGCCCAGGTTGCGTTGTGTATGTTTTCATCTCGCTTAACCGCAGCGTGCGAATATGTGTTCTCCCGTTTCGTTCTAGATACACGATGGAGGATGAGAGGCAAGCCGGTGACGGGGAAGAAAACCCCACGTCGCCCAAGCCGACGAAATGGACCCCCAACCAGCATCATTTGAAAGTCCTCCTCGGGATGGGAATCAACCGCAACGCTGCCATAAAGGTGAGTTGATGTGAGGCTTGGTTTGTGAAACACGCAGGTCTTATTTCAGCTGTGCGCTTTATTACATTAGGCAGCGCCCGCTTAGCGATGTCGTGAAAACGGCTAATTAATTTAGCATGCAACGCAGGCGCACGTTTCGACGTGTGTTGGGAAATGACGGTCGAAATGAAGGTTACCGTCCTCGCGACTACTAGTACAGGGCAATGCTGTTTAAATTATTATTATTATTATTATTATTATTATTATTATTATTATTATTATTATTATTATTGGTGGTGGTGTTAAAACGTCTTTATCGTTTGCTTCCCCAGTACATTATTTTGCCCTGTGCTCCAACTAAATTTGTATCTAATTTGCATAACTTTACTACAAAATTAATATCACAGCCGACATTACCTTTAGTAGCAAGATTCGTCACGATATGACACGGTTACCTTGAGTTATTGCACTAACCAGTCGCTGCACGGAAATTTTAGAGCCCTGCTCTTGGGCATCTGTTCCTGCACTGAAGGGCGTTGCCATCAGTGTAACCAATAGAGTGAATAAGGACAAAAGAGAGCAAACAGAGTCCTTTGATATCACAAGCCACTGGCCTCTAGCCTCGCTTCTTTGTTGAGTGGCATTGGCATAACTTGGCCGATGGAATGAAAAAAACAAAAAACAGAGGGAATGGGGAGTGCAGCAGTAGATGAAAGACTTGGGATGGACAGTGGCGAGACGACAGGTTCCGTGGCGGCCACCTGTGGCGCCACAGTAGTGCACGCCTTTGTGTGGTAACTGATGAAATTATCACTAAGGTATGCGGTGAGAGCATCCACTCATACCATATATGGAAATAGAGTGTTGCGTGAATGGGGGGGGGGGGGGGGGCTGTCTGCAGAGGCTGTTATGGAATGCACCCACATACCGTTTTCCACTATCTTCCAGTTAGCAAGGCAGTTGCACTGCGCTTCATCTGTGTTTGTTGGTATTATGAAATGGTTTACTTGAGCTTCTCTGCTCCAGTCATGCTGCCCACTGCATGGTATGCTACTGTACATCGCTTACATGCCTTCTCTCAAATTTTTTGTCTCAACTAATCACAGAATCAAAACGCCCATAGATCTACACTCGGAATTTGTACTAGGCTGTATCGCAATCGTCCGTGAATTTTTTAATGTCACATTTAGATCTGTGAGAGCACTTTACATTGCACAGAATGCTTCAAAACCTCATAACTTTGCGTCTTTCACTGTTAGTACTCATCACTAAAAGGTAGTGCATATATGTGAAATAAAGATATATGTCCATGTTGCTTCTTGATGTAGCTTAACACTGTCTGACCTTTATATGATATGAAATATGACCCGTTTATCGCAAATCATAGATCACAGCAGACTGGGGTGCACAAGTTCTTTCAATGAGCAGACACAACACACTGCTTGTGCTCCCAATCGAAACATAGTACGTTGTGGGCTAGAAGCAGAGTCACACAGCATGTGTAATTAATCTTGCATCCACAACTTGTCATAACATATTAAAGTTACCCACAAACGCAAGCATCTACACAGATACCTGTAAAAGAACAGGCTGTTGGCCGAACAGGGGATTATACTTACGAAGTGGCACTGCAAGTGAAATAAAAATAATAAAAAGCTTTTATGTGGTAGCGCTAGATCAAGGAGATTTTTTTTTATTCGCAGGCCCTCTACTATACCGGAAACCAAGGACCAGACTTTGCTGCTGCATGGCTCTTCGAAAACAATGATGAGGACATTGACGCTCCCCTGGACGTGAGTGAAACGTTCGGTTTCTGTAAAAGGACATCTGACAATTGCTTTTCATTCCGCAAGCATGTCTTTTGGCTTCAACTTCACAAATTCGTAACTCTAAAATGCCTCATTTTTATTCAGGAAAGTGTCTCGAACAAGTTCTCCTGATGAAAAACTAATTTGTGATGTCTTTATTTTAGGATGCTTCATGTAGCGTACATTCTCCACGTGTCTGGCAGTTCAGTCTCATGTGTGTTAAAGTGCCCTGCAATATTTTTGGGGCATAGTCATAAGACATTGCTGATCAATAGTCAAGCCTCCATTGAACATAGAGGCTAAATATGATAGCAGTGCATGAAACAACATTTACAGTTTTGTGTCAGAAACAGCAAAATTCTCTCTCTGTCTCCTTTGCAATATCAGCACCGTGTTGGCATTAAGCGAGCGTAACAGGTATTGGGTAATTTCAAGAACAGCACACAAGTGGATGATAAGGAAAGTAAGATGCTGCATTGTGTTAAAACTACAGCCATTGTGAAATGCCTTCGCATGTCAGCACTGTGAAAGTCTTAACCTTAAGATGCATAGCTGGGGCACAAGCAATATTTTACACTTGAAAGGGGGTGCTGTTTAGCTTCCACTACACTTGTGGTGATGAAAGCACAGAGAAAGTGCTAAGCTTGTGTGGTAATTCTGCTCATACAGGGTGAAACAAAAAAAAAGTTTTGCTGAGCAGGTCCATGAGGCAACAAGGCGCGTTACTGTGAGGTCATTCTACAGTAACATAAAAAATTGTTGGCTTCTTCCTTAAAGAAGCCTACAACACTTTTTAAGCATGGTTAGAAAACGCTGCTGATCGGTAGTAGAGGCTCCCGATAACACGAAAAGGCAAGTATTATTGTGCAAGATGCGACCCGGAATACACAAATAATTATCAAAGCCAGCTGAAAATTGCCTTTATCTTCTCTGGACCAATGACGAAAGAAGCTCAAAATCACAGGTAAATTGCTTTCTCTTCTTTGAACCAATGACAAAAGGAGCTAAAGAATCACTCATCACAGCCACTCTACCAGCCATTGGCCGATTTGAACATGGCACGCTCGGTCGTTACAGGAATCGCTGTGAGAGGTTGCACCTTGTCCACGTGTGCGCGCTCAATCGCTCTGAAAAATTTGCATATTCGAGAGAGAAAAAAAGTAGTGCTCAAGGTCATGAGGCTTGCATGATGTATTTTCTTTGCTCTTGCCGATTTCTTCCTGCTTTGCTGCCAGCGCTTTGGTTGGTATGATAGAACAGAGAATATTGCAGGGTGTGAGAAATCTTTGTAGCTTAGCTCCTACAGGAGGGATTCTAAAAATTTTTGCGGCGGTGAATTTGTGAGGCACTGAGATCTTTTAGAGAATCCAGTGTATGGCTTACTTAAAAACGTGTTGCAGGGCCCCTGGGCCCCTCCCCAGGTCCAAGCATTTCAAGCTGACAACTGCAATGCATACAGTAGGTGCTCATAATCATCTCTTCCAATATTTTCAATGCCACAAGCCACGAGCAAAGATCAGATTACAAACTGAACAGCGCTTGCTCTTCATTGCGTGGGTACACGCATGAAGATGCTGGGGATGGGCTACAACAAGGAATGGCCGTACATAGTTATCTGTGCTCTGACATAGTTCACAGTAGCACATGACACCGTAAGAATGATTCAACGTGACATGCATAGTTAGTCTAATCTGTTGCTTGAATAGATGAATGAAAGTTGGGAGAAATAATGAAACACACAAACAGAATGTGTCTGTTTTTCAATTATTTTTTTTTACTTCAAATTGCATCGCTATGTGAGACTAATCTGCATCGATTTCGCATGCATTCGTGTTCCTGCCATTTCCACATCATGCAGGTGCAAACCCTGAAACTAACTGTGTAGTATACTACTACGTTCCGGCAGTCATTACGCTCATTTATCCTCTTGCATCTACCTCGATGTGCATGCAGCACTGGCTCATGATACCACTAGTCTTGTGCCCGTAAAAATGTTGCAGTATTCACGCTCAGCAATAAGTTGCAAACCTAGTGGTCAGCGAGGCTGCGTTCGGCATAGCATTTGTGAAGCGATGTGTCAGGGTAAGGATTCATGGTCCATGCCATTTTTTCAAAACATGCACGCACTTAGGGAGCTATTACACAGAAACATGCAGTGCAGAACAGAGAGCACTGGAACAACACATCACTACTCCTGTGGTCTGTCTGGCTCTAGCACCTCTTGGATATGTAACCTTCTGTGCACATGATGTGTTGATGCGTCTGCATTGTATGACCCTCCAGCTCCAATTTTGAAGAGGGCCGAGAATGAGTTAGGCTTGTGAAGGTTGCATCGTGCGAGTGGCTATGGTTTCAAGCTTTCCCCTTGGAACTATAGTTTCATGCAATTTAAAAACAATCGTTTTCATGCTTGTGATGAACCAATTTGAAAAATTCTCGTGGTATAATGCTCTTCATTGGACAAACAAGAACTTCCAGCGTCTAGCTACAATTCCTTATGTGACATGGTGAGGGGTCCCTTAAAGAGGCACTGACACCAATTTTCGAAGCTAATTTTCTTCTGCTCGGCTAATACTCCCTTATGCAGTGATGGCTCTGGGCAAGTGCAAAACTTGGGAAACGGTGAATATGTTGTTTGTGACATTGAAGTCAATTTTTGCATGGTGCGTGCACTCGCATCAACACTGGCGTGATGTCAAGCTTCAGTATCAATTCTGGTGGCTTTGCACACAAGTATAGCTAGTTGGGATGACGTCAAGTTGTGACACATACAGTTTTGCATCACTTTCTCATTTGCCTGCTCTCACCAGTGCGGCCAATGTATTTCATCACACTTGTGAAGTCAGTGAGTAAACTTGAACTTTCTTAATATCACCATGCGTGCACAGCTCTTCGTTTCATAGATTCCCATACGATTTAGTGCTGAAACAAGCGTAGGTCAATTTTGCGCATCCATTGCCTGACCAGCTGAGCAGCTCTGAAGTGACATTATTATTATTTTTCTTGGCACCAGCATATCCTACGGCATAGTAGCTTAAATATTTAACTTGGTTTCCTAGACGATTTCCACGAGCGGAATGTGATTTGTTAATTGTGGATCGATTCGAAATCAACATACACTTACTCTGTTGACAGACGTAAGGTGGGGCTCTAATATTTGAAGATTACGCAAGAAAGTACAGTCTTCATTTAGCAAAGTAAGATTCTTTGAGTAGATTGTGCTTTCATAGCCGCAGTGTGCGAAAACGACAGCTCATCGCAAGTGTCTGTCTCATCAATGGCGGGTATGCAACAAAAAAAGAAAATCACTCCGACCCCCTCGCCCCATCCCCTCTCCCTGCTGCGGTCTCCCAAATTTTCATCCTGCTAGATTGGCAGGTATGGAGATGGCATCTGACCAAATATCCCTCGTATACCACCTCAAGGCATCAAGCTTGCCAGAGCGACACCCTCGCTATGAATGAAGGAAAGTGTCATTTTAAGGGCTGACTGACACTCCCACTGTCAAATGCACACATACATATACCTGTAAAGTGGACGGGGGGATGACCGCCACTGTAGCCCAGTGATAGAGCATCAGACACGTCATTCGAAGGTCACAGGTTCGGTCCCTGCTCACAGCAAGTTATCGGTTTTTTTTTCAGTTTTTTTTTCTTACAACTACATCAGAATTACTTCTAATAACATTACCTATACTTTTCTTGGCATGACTGTCTGTTACTTCTCATTGGTACTGTTTATAACAAAGAAGAACTATCCCTTAAAATTGCGCTTTCTTTCATTCATAGCTGTAACACTAATACTACTGCAAATCAATGAAAACTTGTCTGTCTGGTCAGGAGTGCTCTTTGTCGGTCAAAGGTAAAAGAAAGATGCCAACCAAAGGCAAAAAGCACTTTAACATAGGCATCGTTTATTTAAAAGATTAGTTTTTCTTTTATGTGGTTGTCACAGGTCCCGTTAATACGGGAGGCGATCGCCGGGCTAATTCCAAGGGCCGAAGTATCAGCCCCCCGAACCGCACCACGAAAGCGTGGACAATTTAGAAGTGGTCCTATTTGGCGTGCCAGCGGACGCCGGCTGTGGCCCAAAGAACAAGTCAGAGCGGAGAGTTGATAACCAAAACAAAATTATATTCTCAATTATGGCAGATCAAAACGATACACAAGTATGCACACTCGACAATAGTTGAATACAGTATGTCACCAATCAAAGAACGTACTACGCAGTACAATAAGCCACACTCGAAACAACGGACACAGACAACAATACGCACTACAATGCAGTCGCATGCATCGAACAACCAAGACACCTAAAGACTAAAGAGTTAGAAAACTTATTCAGTCCAAAGTTCTTGGAACAAAAGTCTGGATGATACTCTTCCGAGAATCACTCACTCGAAGCCCAGCGTTGCTGTCGTTCCGCTGCCCCCAAAGTTTCTCTTCCAGGAAACCTCGCGTCTTCAATTGGCCGCTTTCCAGCCTCTAAACTTCTTCGCCGGAAAGACGTCGGCTTCACACATGCAGTTGTTGCCACGCGTCTTCGCTCGATAGCGGTAGACACACACTCTCGCCTGTAGCTCGACTCTTCACCCCTCAGGTGGAAATCCTCTTCTCCTCCTTTGTCACGGAAGACAAAAGGCTTCGCCCACAAGGCGGAACAACCTACGCACTCTGGCGTGAAATTCCTTCTCCTGCTTTGTCACTGAGGACAAAACCTTCGCCGACGACACGGCGGAACACCCTAGGCACTCTGGCACATACTTTCTTCTTCTGCTTTGTCACTAAGGACAAAACCTTCACCGACAGACGTGGCAGAATAACATCACGCACACTGGCGCTAACTTCCTTCTCCTGATCTCCCATCTCTGCTGCTCGAATAAATACCTTCCGCACGAGATTCCAGAAAGTTCTCATCATTTCGTCGGCGCGGTACGCAGCGAAGGCTGGGGAAAGCGCGAGACAGTACGAGGGCCGTCCGCGAAAGATGACGCAACCCTGCATCACCACGCCCCTTTCCATCGAGAACTTTCTAGGGCTTGCTCGGCCGCCGATGTGAGGAGGTTCGTCGGCGAACCTACGCTTCCGAGGGGAGAGGGACGCGCGCCCGGGGAGTCTTTGGGTGCTTGTTTTCTTTTTTTTATAGTTGACCTCGAGGCATCTCTCCGGCGCTTCGTTGCGAGAATTTGGCGTCGCGCCCTTTTTGAGCGCTCGTTTTGTGACAGTGGTTGACTACTTGCTTTTACCTTTGACCACTACTACTTTTTACCAATAACAAGCCCTCAACTGGTTATGAGACCCGCCACGGTAGTGTAGTGGCTAAGACACTCAGGCTGCCGACCCGCAATCCGCGGGATCGAAACCCTGCTGCAGCGGCTGCATTTTCGATGGAGGCCAAACTGCTTGAGGACTGTGTGCCTAGATTTAGGTGCACGTTAAAAAACCCAAAGTGGTCGAAATTTCGGAGTCCTCCACTTCAGCGTCTGTCATAATCACATGGTAGTTAGGGGACGTCAAACCCATACAATTAATAATATTATGACTGGTGATAAAATGGCCAAAGATGCTGCAATTTGCATTTTTTAAATTTTGAGATTTCGGGTATGTGCGTCTTTTAAGGCACGGAAACACCATTATTTTTCACGCAGCTTTCTTGCGTCTGGTTGAAAAACAGTCGCAAGCTGACCTCTTGCGTGTTGCTCAAGGCGTCCTCATCTTGCTTTCCTATTCTTCTAGCTGGATCCCTTAGACGAAAGTGACACAGAAGACGACGATGCTCCCGAAACGTACAAAATGGTCTTTGCGGTCAACTGTGAGCTCGACATGGGCACCGGAAAAATCGCGGCTCAGGTTGCACATGCGGTCCTGGGCCTGTACAGGCTGCTTCTGCAAGATGAGAGGAAGTATGGCAACATGCTCCTGCTGTGGGAGGAATACGGGTAAGTGGTGTTAAGAGTCTGTGTTTGCACATCCGTGCCACTCAGGCTAGCTTCCTTAATGCCAGTGTTGAAGGGCTCCTAATGTGTTCCGTTATAAGCTTATGTTTAGGAGATGTACAGTTCGGGGGACACTCTACTGCAAAAAACGAAAGCACCGATAAAACATTGAAGGTTAACCAAAACATCAGGTCCAATTTACCTTAGAAAGTGACAGGAATTGGATGGAAACAAAGGAAGAAAGAGGAGAGCTTGTACTCTTGGTCTTAGGTCTACACAGCATAGAACAATATTGGAGCAAATGCTGTCGCATTTCTCTACCACGGCTTCTTATGAGGTCGATATTCGAAAAAGAATTTTTCTGGCAGGAGTCTCTTGTCCATGTGAACCGAAGCAGTCGCAAGCAATCATTGTTGTAGACTGTGTCATGAGCCAGAGCCGTAGCTTTCCCGTTTTTCTGGAGGGTGCGTGGAATCACCGAAATAGTTGTGTAAAGATCGGTGGTCGGTGTCAACTGGTGCAAGCTCAATAATTTTTGTAGAATGGTTAAGGGGAGGTGCGACTCGAAAACAAAAACTGTCGTTAATCTGCAGCCGAGGGCAATGAAAGTTTTGCTGTATATATAGACTTTATGTCGGTGTCAAATATGTGGTTAGTTTTACAGGAAGTTGCATGGTTTCGAAATTGTGCCATGACAATGTGTATAGTTTGTTTTGGGCAATATTTTTGTGCCACTAAACATTTATGGTTCTAAGTCATTAATGGCTCATGTTGCTCCGCATTGACTGTAGAATGCAAATAACTGTCAAGAAAGTGCGTATAAGACATTTCAATGGACAGGAAAAACTGTAATGTGAGAATTCTTAGAATCATCAGCCTATACTAATTGCTTATTTTAGGTCCGTAATAATTGTACAGGCAATATCAAGTTTCAAACAAGGTACTTGCGCACATCACATGGTAAAAAATGTGGTCAAAATTTCATTCCGATCGGCCTATCAGAAATATTATAAACATGCCCAAACTCGAGAAGTCGCCTAAAAATTGATCTTGAGAGAAACACATTTTAAAGGTGTAAGTGAAAACTTGTGTATGCAGAAAAGGTAGTTTTTTAGATGATTTCTTTCATAATGAGAGCTTGGTAATAATGGTCACACTGAGCATGTGGCTTTAGTGAGCTCCTCATGCAATGGCAAGCAGCGAGGTGAGAATTTTCAGGGGACTTTAGACAATACGCTCTTCTTAGTTTTAGTAGCCATCTTGTGCTCTTTAAAATCATTTTAACCTACTTCGAGTTTAATTACAACCTTCGTTGTTTTTATCCTGAGCATAGAGAAATGAAATGCGTGAAGGCAAGGAAAAACAAGGAATATGTAATTTTGGCAAGAACTTGCGTTTTTCAGCTCGCATCTCCCCTTAAGCAGTAGCTGAGATAAAATCAAATAAAATCATTGTATGCACGGGCCAACAATTGGGGGAGGGTGAAGGGGGCCTTCATCACGTGGTCGATCAACGTCACGAACATGTAGGCGTCAACTCCATGCATTTCAATCTCTACTACTCGGCTGTCTGTTCTCTATTGCCCTGCTCCCTTCCCAGCTGTGCTGAGCTGCTCTCCTTCATGGGGTGGAGAAAAAAGTGCTGCTTTTTGTTTTTGTTTTTTTTTTCAACAATATCTTTGCTACTATTCTCATGTAGTTGTACTACTTGCCTAAACAGAACACTGATGCTGTTGTGCTGTCGTGCATGTGGGAATGCTGGGACGTAGTACGGTGGCTTTGAATTAGCATCATTCTTGACGAGCTAAAACATTCCATAGGCATGTCTGGCTAGCACACTTGTCTTGCTCATGTTAGTACGATAATAGCACATGGGCATTTTGTTTTCTCTTTCAATCAGAAGGACTTCTGCGAATATGTGCGCTCAATACGAAACCCAAAGAGTACCAGCAGGACACTACAATTGCAGAACCAGTCGCAGAGCCTGCACCCATGGTGCACAACTTTTAGTCCATTTTTCTTTTTCCTTGTTGGCTTTTGCACCATACCGAACTAAATGTTATTGAAAAATCTAGTATGGGTGACTCAGAAGTTTTTGTAAACATATTAATTTAGGAACGCACAACCTTTGCAGCCATACCATGTTTTTTGGTCATTCCTCCTAATAGCCGTGTCCGAGCATTCCCACCATGAGCCACTGGGGATGTTCGAAAACTCTGGTTCGGGTTGTGATAGTTGAAGGTAATGTACAGTGGACTCCTCTTAAACGGAACTCGAAGGGGCAAGAAAATTTTTTCTATTTATGAGAAGTTTTATTTAAGCAAAGCTTACAAAATGGATGAAATATGACTTTATTTCGAAAGCACCATTTGTGGCTGACTGAACGAAAACATTTTGAAGTATACGATACTACTATAGTCAATTGCAAAGAAAAATGTTGCTAATATTGCTTACAGATATCTCTGTTTACAGCCACACTTTCTCCAGAATCCAAAGACAACACCATGCTGCTTTTTAAACGGCTCAGACAGCCATCGCTCACCTGCAAGTGCTCGATCCCCATGCGAGTAGCAATCTCTTTGGCCTTCTCCTCGAAAATGGGGCTGCTGATCTGGAAGTTTGCACTGCGCACACACTTGAATCAGAGAAAAAGAGCATTTTCAATTTATTTGTATGCCGCCGTTCTCCTCTGCATTCTGTCCGTGGCGAAGTTCCCAAGCCTTGCAGCTTCTTCAATCTTCCTTGTGTTCTTTAATATCTTCAACATTGTTTACTTGGGAACACTGAACTTCTTCACAATGTCTGTCTTCGATAGGTCGTCGCGGTCAAGTTCTTGAATGATTTTTGCTTTCGTTGCGAGAAAAAGTACATTGTGCTGCCATTTTTTGTTTCCATCTCAAGTTCACGACGAGATGGAAACGAGAAGGATCGTCTGCTGCTCGGTGTGCGTGGACATGTAAAATCGCTGGATTGGCTTAGCTATGTACTAGCTTTGGCATTTGTTTCATGGTTGCTAGACTGCCATGGCCACTTTCGTCGTTCATGGATTTTGCTCGTTTTAGTTTAATTTAACCGATGTAAGCGGAAAAAATGTTCCGATTACAGTGCAGTCCACTTATAACGATATCGAGAAAACCTAAAAATATGATCGTTATAACCGGTGATCGTTATATCTGGACTGCCGCCAAAAAATCGTCGCCGGACGTACCTTTTGTAGCTTCAGGCTTGATTTCGCTATTTTCACCAATTAATAAATATTGTAGATAGTAGGATGTCAAAAACAAGACTTTATTTCTTACTCCGAAGAACGCATCACGGGTTCGCTGAGGAAGAGAGACTGACCGACGGCGGGGTGGGAGCAGTGGGAGGAAGAAAGCACAGCCAGAGGTACACAGCCGGAATGCCAACGAGGCCCCGCCCCGATGCCGCCGCGCCGCTTTGCTTTTCGCTTTTTTTATTTTCTCTCTCTTTCTCGCTTTCGTTCGGCAATCTACGAGTAGCTTGCCGTTGTAGAAGGCGGGGAGCCGCGGAGCGCGGCACTTTGCTTTTCGCATTTTTTTTAAAAATTCTCTCAGCCTCTCCGCGGTCGACGCCTAGGAGGATATATATAAAAAAATTGCTGGAGTGGAGGGAGCGCTCTTCAAGTGAAGCCAGCGCCGCCATGTTGTGGTGGGCAGAAAGCTCGGCTCGGCTGGCTCGGTGGCGGCCAGCGCTGCCAGTTCACCTGCAGCGACGGTGGATTGCGGTTCGTGCGCCTGTCTTTCCTTGACAAGTGTGTCTCTGCAGTGCATTCGAATGCGTGCGGCTCGATTCAAGCGAGCATGGTACAATCCTGCGTAGCGTATGGGTGCACAAATCGCGCGATTCCTGCTTCCAAGATCACATTTCACAGGTGCGTACTGAAAGCACGTAGTGCTTACGCGGTCTAATACGGCTGACTCGTGTTTTTCATTGGTAGGCTTAAGGAATTAATATTTGGAAATTATTGGCAGGTTTCCAAAAGATGCTGAGACACGGAACCTATGGGAGCGAGCTGTGCGTCGTGAACACTGGAAACCGACAGATAAAGATCGCCTTTGCTCTGCGCACTTTGATCCGGCGTGTTTTGACCGGACCGGACAAACAACAAGGTTGAAAGCGGGAAGTGTGCCGACTTCGTTCGCTGCTTTTCCTGCCCACCTCCAGGCACCGGTAAGCATCGGAACTTCGCAGATATAGTGCTCTGACATCAAGGAGGTTGGAATGACGTAGACATATCTCTTCTGTCGTGTTTTGTCGACGTGACTGCATTGCTGCGTGTTTCCTCGCGAGCTTTTCGTCCCGTTCGCTCGTTTACAATATCGCTCAACACACGATTAGCGCATGATCATTGTCGAATGTTCCCGAACATGCTTTCGTGAATACATATATTCATGTTATGAGCAATAATTGAAGTATATATATCATTCTAAAAGTAGTTAATTTCCACTATGTGCTTATTTCAGGTGAAAAGGAAGCGGCCAGCACCAAAACCTCGAGGATGCAGTCCTGCTCAGCAGCAAGAGGCCTTAAATACTGAAGATCATGTCACTGTATCACCATCAAAGCAGTGGTACAAGACGAAGTTGCAGGAAACAGAAGACGAAAGATTGCACTTGAAGAAAAAAATTAAAACGTTGCAGCAGAGCAAACGAAGGCTGACACAAAAGAAAATCACCGCTGAAGAAATTATTAGAGGCATCGAAGAACAAAAGCTTTTGTCAGAAGAGGGCTCCAAGATGTTCGATGCAGCATTTTCTCCTGACATACAACAGCTGCTTCACCGGGCACGGACAGAAAGTGGAGGTAAATACCCTCCAGAGCTGCGAACGTTTGCACTAACTTTACATTTCTACTCACCAGCAGCCTACGAATTTGTGCGATCAAAGTTTAATGACGCCCTCCCTTCGCAGCGCACAATCAGAGAATGGTATAGGTCTGTTGATGGCCAACCAGGCTTTACAGGTGAAGCATTTTCTTTCTTGGAGAAGTTGGTTCAAGGTCGCTCTGAAACTCTTTACTGCGCTCTGATTGTCGATGATATGTCGATTAGGAAACATGTTGAACTTGTCGGAGACAGGGTAGTTGGCTACGTTGATTTTGGAGCATCTCTTGATGATGACAGCCTTCCTGAAGCCACAAATGTTTGTGTTTATATCGTTGTTGGCATAAACATGAGGCTGAAAATTCCAGTCGGCTACTTTCTTATCCACTCGCTCACTGGTTCTGAGAGGGCTGAACTAACAAAACAATGCATTGAACGACTGGAATCTGTGAAAGTTCAAGTTGTCAGTCTAACATTTGATGGTGCGTCATCAAATTTCACTATGGCAAAATGCCTTGGTGCAGAACTGAAGCCTGATCCTGTCGAGTTCTCCACATCCTTTAAAAACCCAGTTGATGAGTCAAGGGATGTGCATATCCTGCTTGACCCATGCCACATGATTAAGTTGATTAGAAATTCACTGGCAACAATGTGTTACATCACTGATGTTGATGGAAACCACATAAAATGGGCTTACATAAAGGCACTGGAGGCTTTACAGCGCGAGGAAGGGCTCCGCCTTGGCAATAAGCTAACTAAGGTGCATATGCAGTGGGAGAAGCAAAAGATGAAGGTACGGCTCGCAGTTCAGGCACTCAGCGCTTCAGTCGCAGACGCTCTTGAATTTTGCGAGCAAACGCTGAAGCTGCCACAGTTTAGAGGTGCTAGTGCCACGGCAAAATTTGTGAGGGTATTTGATCATCTCTTCGATTTGCTAAACTCCAGAAATGCGTTTGCAAAATCATACAAAGCCCCCCTTCGAAAGCAAAATGAGCCTTGTTGGAAACCATTTTTTGCCGACGCTCGAGAGTACATATGTGCTTTAAAAGACCCATTCGGTCGACCACTTTTGCAGGGAACAAAGAGGACAGGATTTGTGGGTTTTCTTGTGTGTATACAGAGCACAGAAAGTATCTTCAAGGAACTCGTTCATGAAGGTCAACTTAACTATCTGCTCACGCACAAGATGAGTCAAGATCACGCAGAAACTTTCTTTGGCTGTGTGCGAGGACGTGGGGGGTTCAACAACAACCCTACAGCTGCCCAATTCATGGCAGCTTACAAGCGTCTATTGGTCCAGACAGAAGTGAGATCGTCCACCTCAGGCAACTGTTCGCAAGATATTGTTTCTATTCTGGGTGCATCTGCCTCTGCCACTACATTTTGTGCAACCACTGAGGTCACATCGCGAAGGTGTGCCATCCTACAACCAGAGGACCACGATTACACAGACCGAATTGACTATCCAGAGAGCCTCTCCACATTCGTTTGCTCTGTCGTGCCTTACATTGCAGGCTTTGTCGCTCGCAAAATCGCTACTACAAACACCTGTGAGTTGTGCATAGAAGCTCTTCATGGAGCGGATACATCTCTATTGGTGAGACAAAAAAATCGAGGTGGACTCTTTTACCCTTCCGAAGACGTTGTGTCACTGTGCGAAACAGCGGAAAAGGGGCTGCGTCGACTGCAGGCTTCCACTCAATGCCTTAAGAACATACATGCCAATACCAAACAACTAGTCCTGGAGATTTTGAGTCAATCACTGGAAAAGAGGTGGTTTTCACAATTGGAACAACATCTTTTTGACGTCGACGTGTTGGACAACCATATTTACAACTTGAGCAAGCAAGTATTGGAGCTGTACATCAAGATCAGGCTGCACCACATGACAAAGGAACGAAGCCGGGAACTCGTGAAAGACAAAGTTAGGTCTTTGCTTTCAAGACTCGTCATTTTTAGGAATCAGTGAAACAACTTTGCCATAACGTTCATGTTGGCTAAAGGCTGAGAAAGCTGTACAAATAAAATTTTAACACATGAAAAACGAACCGTTCTGTAGTCTCTTTAAATACTGCCAGTGTATCGGCGACTATGTGAGCACGTTTTTACTTCTCTAGCAGCAATCATTTGCGAAAAAAAAACGGCCGCGGAAGTGCACTATATGCTACGCGGCCGCCTTCCTGCCCACCACAAGATGGCCGCCGCCGGCTTCACTGTGCTCTATGGGTAAGTATAGGCGGCTTCCACTCCAGCAATTTTTTTATATATATCCTCCTAGGTCGACGCGCGGCGAGGCGCAAAACGTGACACAGCTGGCGCCATCTGTAGCGCGTCGCGCCAACTCGCGATGCTCTCCTCGGCTTTTTGAACGGCCGGGACGCGCTGCCGGTGCTGTGCTGCAGTGGCGGCAGATACGTACTCGCCTACGCTAACTTTTCGTCTTGTCTCGGCATAGTTCGTTTCAGAGGAACTTATCAATCTAAATGTTACGATTATTCTGAATGAAACATGCCGTCCACGGCAAACTTTTCATCGTTGTATCCGATACGCGGTGGATAACATATCGTTATATATGGTTTTTTTCCCCATAGCCCCAATGCATAAAATGAGACAGTTAAGTCGACCCATCGTTATAACCGATATATCGTTATATGTGGTATCGTTATAAGTGGACTGCACTGTACACGAAACTTTTTATCATTAAATATATTGGAGACCAACTAAATGTACCTAAGTAGTTTCGTTTATGGGGCTTTTCCATTTAAGCGAGCTTCGTTTAGTCGGAGTCCACTGTAGATGCTATGCTTGGGTCAAAAAAGAAGTGTTTCATACCGTTTTGTTGCATATGCTTTAATATTCATTCCAAAAGAAGTTGCCTTACATAAATTCAGAACTGACGGCACAGCTGGAATGAGCCCAACCATCCCCTCTTAGTGGAATTGAATGAGAGGCAAAAAAAAAATTACTTGGAGACCATGCCAGTTTTAATAACTTCCACGGATATTAAGACAGCAGCATTAAAGAGGTCATTTCGCAGAAATTCCACCATTGGCGCCGATGTCAGCACATTTTAGTGTGAGCAAAAAATGATCGTTTTGTGTGTGACCGAAGAATCGAGAATATATCGAAATAACTTCCTCTGCCTGAAGATGCAGTGATAGTAGCTTTCATGCTTTACAAATACATGCGTCTGGTATACATGCTTCACAATACAACATGAAATATTGCAGTAATAATGCGTGGTACAAGGGCATATTGCCATTGGACATCAGAACATGGGATTATCATAACGACTTCATGGTTTAAAGCCGGTCAACCACTGGAAAACCACGCACATTACTGCACCTATTCTTTTAAGGCCACGTGGTGGGTGCATAGCAAGTTTGAAAAGATTTCATGCGCTTAAGTGTTTGAAGTACACCCTAGGGGTAGGACATTGCTATTGTGTTCAACTCTTGAAGGCGAAGCTTAAGGGTCCGCCACTTTTTAACAAAAATCCTGAATTGCTTCCAAGCTACCACTGTGGTCTACTGTTTATGGTGTTCAACTGCTGACCAGCAGGTTGCGGTATCGAATCTCTGCCACAGTGGCCACATTTTGTATGGAAGTGAAAGTGCCAGAAGCCTATGCACTTAGATTTAAGTGCATGTTAAGAACCCCAGGTGTTTGAAATTTCCAGTGCCTTCCACTGCCGTTTCCCTCTTAATCATATTGTGGTTTTTGGATGTTAGACCCTAACAATAGTTATTAATGATTCAGTGCACAGCTGCGTTTTATGGCCTAAGGGTTCTTCAATTAAATGAAAACGAGTACATAACTTACCCAAAGCTTCATATGCACATGACATCTATTAGCGCATGCTTCATATATCATCGTATGATAAGCTCTCATCGAGTGACCTATCTTGTTTCCAGGGAGACCAAGATAGCCCTGCGGGCACTTTCAACCCAGCATTTGTTGTCATTGGAGAAAAAGGCGTCAGAGCTTGGCCTGCCCACGTACCTTGTTCAGGATGCTGGAAGGACACAGGTATTTGTTTACAGCTACTAGTTGTGTGCGGGGTGTCGTACCTTAGTTCCTAAAAGAAGTGTTCATTACACTAGCATGGTAAATTTTGGAGCGTAAGCTACACTGGCTGAGGTTGAGCAGTTTTGCGTGACTTATCGAGAGCTGTGCTGCGCACGCCCGAGGAGCAGTGAGGTGGAGGCGTGGGTCACTAGCGGGCTGGCGCTTGACTCGCGTGAGTTCGTTGGTCCGTTTGTTCATCCATAGCTCACTCTATGTATATAGTGGCATAGCCGCGCTAAGCCACCGCAATTTTTTTTTTTTTATGAGCATACTGGGCGCGTAGAAGCCACAAGTACGCCATTATGGAGGGCAAGCGTTCCAGGATAGGGTGGTGACACATACTGCACAAAGATTTCTCTGCAATGCAATTTCTCTTGAAGCCCCTTATAGAAAGATTTAACATGGTCTAGGGAGCTTTTCACCACAATAAATTTTATCTGGGGTCAAGTGGTAGGTTAAATAGGGAGCAAGCAGGTGAGAGCCAGGACAGAGGGCCATTTGCTTGACCAATCTCTATAAGTGGCATTCCTCTTCATTCTTCAATATTCAAACTGTCTCATGGCTTTTAATTCAAGATGTCCAAAAAGCTCGCTCTTCCTGTGCCACAGTCGCTTTGGCATCCATTGGTATTGATGTGGGGCAAAGTGAGCTGATCCTTAAAGTGATGTATTCAAAATTGGGCTTATTTATGTACGTATATTCACAGGTGACAAATTAGTGGTTCTGATCTTGTTATTACTGTATATTGCTGATTATAAGCAGTTCTTTTTTTTCTTCATTAAATGGCATTACGAAGTTTAGGGGTCAACCTATTCACGGAATCGTAAGGTCGACTTTTCTGAGGGGGTCCGACAAACGGCCATCCTGCTTGGATTCACTGCCTGTTTTGACGCATCGATAACATAAGCCTTGGATGTAACGGAGTTGCAGGAACTGCTATCTCCCAACGCGCTTGCGCCACTTTCAGAGCCGGAGATTTTTACGATCTGTCACGATAATCGCGAAACTGCGGTTTAGCTATTGTGGCTAGGAAAGGAGGTGTCAGCAACTATGCGTCAGAGATACAGCATTTTTTATGACGCATCACTGACGATATCATGGTTTCAATGGTAGTGCCACCGCACTACCATTGAAAGGGTGTTAGGGGGTTTTTGATGTAGTCGAGAGTTCATCGGAATACAATCTGGTCAGGTAAAGCCGTTGTTGAAAAAAAAAAGGGGGGGGGGGGGGGTCACTGAACAATTTAAAAAAAAACAGACATTTCAGAATTCGTACGGATCCCTTGTCCACAGTGGATGATGGCTGAGCAACAAGTTCTTATGTAGTTTTGAGCGCATGATGCAAAGTCCAGGAGTACATGTGGTTTAGTGTGCCGGATAATCTATTCATTGTGTTACTCGTTGTCTGAATGATTAGTCATTCGACATTGAGTCTCATCAAATTCTTCTCTGTTGCCATTATGTGTGAATTGTCCCAGTTTATCTCGTGACCCGTGAGGACTGCTCTGCCCTAATTAGAAGGTTATAAGAGTGCCCCAATGAAGACACATTAGGTTGAAAATTAAACCTAATTTGGACAGTAAGTGCCCCTGTTGTATGCGGCTCAACTTGCTTGCAGTCAGCCATGGGCACGTTATTGGCAAATAGTAACACTGTTATAGTTACAGTTACCTAAGTCAATAAAGTGACCCTGTTACATTTACAGTTATCGATTTTATTAAGTATCTTGTTACAGTTTGTGGGCAACTGTGGGTGCAGGTTAGCCAGATGAGGACAGAGGACGCTCAAGCGGAAATGTTGTAGGCCCGTGTGCTCAGATTTGGGTGCACGTTAAAGAACCCCAGGTGGTCTAAATTTCCGGAGCCCTCCACTACGGCGTCTCTCATAATCATATAGTGGTTTTGGGACGTTAAACCCCACATATCAATCAACAGAGGACGCTCAAGGACAACAACAGACTTTTATATACACGAAGACGGACAAGGGAATACACACTACATAAACTCACACATATGTACACGCGTTCACGGTCTTACACGGAAGGGAAATTAATATTCTAGTTCATCCACTCACGTTGTACTCTTGGAGCGTGGACGTTGCGATTGACCTGGAGCTCTCTCGTCAGTCAGGAGGCGGTGTGCCTCGTGCTTGCGAAGTCCGTACCAAGGCGGGGCCCGGCCTAGAAGATAACCGCCAGGGATATCCCAGTACGGTGGTCAATGTCTGGGCTTGCCTGTATTCACACCGAGAACAGCGTACCGACGACTGTCGCGAACAGACCTGGGACAGCGCCTCGCTCCGATACCAGAATAGCAGCTGGTCGTGAAGAACGTTGTTTCAGACCAACCCGGGGGTGAAGTGGGGCGATGCCCAGTCCAGAACGCACCCGAGGACTTCAACGCCGAGACGAGGCCTTGGACACGGAGGGTCAGAACGAGCAGTCGGGGCGTGGCCCGAACTTGTTCTCGCTGCTCTGCTCTCTCTGATCTTAGCCGAGCTATCCCCGTGGCTCGGGAGCTTTTCACGAGGTACACGCACGAGCATGCGCATAGGCGAGCTTCATCGTTTCACCGCTATCACTATCATGGTGATTCCCGCGCACCCTGAAATGCTAAATCGACCCCGCACACCGATCACAAATGAATCGGCCCCGCACACCGATCTTCTACGTCAAAGCACGACGCACACTCTCCAGGGCAATGTTTTTCACCACACAGTTACAATTACAGTAAAATTTTGTTAATTCAGAATTTCAGTTGATTCCGCCACGGCGTCTGGTCTCGCCCAAAATGTACATTGTTCTATGACTGAAAACTATCATTAATTCGGACAAATGTGGCCGTGCTTCGGTTAATTCGAACACCCGACCACGATCGAGTCACTGCGGGGAAGCAGCAGCGGAATCTGCCAGCCAAATCGATGGCGCACCTAGACAACTTTGAAATTTGATTGCGGCCTCTGAGATTCAAAACTTCGTCCATGGGTAGTACATCTCGGAGGCACCCCCACCCCAAAAAAAAAAACGCATGAAGGTTTAAACAACCAAAATGGCAGACAGTGCATCGCTACTGTCATCAGCAACGGGCAACCTACGGATCCGCCTTTACTTTTTTCTTGTGTGTCGAACACGTTTGCGTGACGGTTGAGTTGGATTGCTCACCTCCAGAGGGTTTCAACTTAATTATTTATACGTGTCAGTGCCATCTGCAGTCTTACTGTTTGCTGTTTTTTGAAAAGTTTCGCTAGTTTTTATTTTGTTTTTATTACAGTACATTTTTTTGTGTGTGTGTGTGTTTGTGTTGTCTACTTCGTGCGCGCGACGCTGGTATGGCTTCCCCTCCATCCCCTGCGGCCCCAACCACCCCAACTCCCGCAGCGAAGAGGGCAAAGTACAAATCAATGGATTTGGCTGCGAAGGTGAAAATACTAAAGGCATTGCAAGCGGGAGCATCTCGTAAAGAAGTGATGGAAAAGTTGAATGTGAAGAAAAGCACGCTGAGCACTTACGTGAAGAACGAAGAGCAGATTATGCAAGCGTATGACGGGGACATGTTTGGCGACCAAAGGAAGAGGCTTCGAATGGCAGTGCATCTCAAGCTAGAAGAAGCGCTGTGGCGCTGGATTGCCGTTTCGCGCAATGTGCGTTTGCCCTTGAGCGGCCCCCTTATCTGCGCACAAGCAGAGAAGTTCGCGGTGACCATGAACATTGACTCCTTCAATGCCTTGGAAGGCTGGTTCGACCGCTTCCAGAAGCGACACAATCTGGTGTTCTTTAACGTGTGTGGTGAAAGAGGTGCGGTTGACGAAAGTGTGCAGGACTGGTGGTTTGGACTATCCGCGCACCTTTCTACGTACGAACCGTGCAACATTTTCAACGCTGATGAGACAGTGCCGTTCTATAAGGTTCTGCCTGAGAAGACAATCCCGTTTAAGGAGGACGCGTGCGTCGCTGGAAAACGAAGTAAAGAGCGCGTGACAGTTCTTCTGGCTGCTAACATGACCGGCACAGAGCGGCTGCCGCTTCTGGTGATTTGGAAGGCTGGGAAGCCAAGATGTTTTAAGAATATTAAGCAGCTGCCTGTCGACTATTGGTTCAACAGAAATTCTTGGATGAGGATGAGTGCCAAACTCTTTGAAGCCTGGCTGCGTCAGCTCAACCGCCACTTTGCGGCCAAGGCTCGGAAGGTGTTGTTCCTGCTAGACAACTGTAGTGCGCACACGAAGGTGTCTGGGCTCGAGAACATTGAACTGCTATTCCTGCCTTCAAACACAACAGCTTCCCTGCAGCCAATGGACCAAAGAATCATACAGTTCGTGAAAAGCCGCTATCGACGGCAGGTACTCGAGTGGATGTTGCTCTGCATGGAGTGAGGCAAGCAGTACGAAGTAAGCCAGCTAAGCACAATCCACATGCTGACATTCGTGTTGAACAACACACCGCCTGCAGTAGTCGCAAACTGCTTTAGGCATAGCGCTTCGTGCACGATGCTGCTGATCCAGGTGTGGTGGCCGATGAGAAAACCGGCGAAGAGCGACACGGCCGCTATGTGAGCATCATGCCAGCTGATGTGCCCCTGGGCAATTACTTCGCAATTGGCAGCGATGTTGCAGTGGCCAGCACAATGACTGACAGCGATATTGTCGCCGAAGTGTTGGGCGGCGAAGGGGAATTGGCTGACGAGGACGTAAGTGATGCTGACGAGCATCTGCGCCACACAATGACGGAGCCTGCGCATGCATTGACCGTTTTCGAAGACATATGCATGCTTTCCTTGGACAGTGTGCGCGGACTGAGCCACCTGCAGGAACTTCACAAAATTGTGACTTCGTCGCACATTGCGTCCGTGAAGCAAACCACGATCACAGACTTTTTAAAGAAATAAAAGTATGGTGGTGTAGGAGATATTTTTCAAGTGTTTTGTTCGTACGTGTGATAATTCGTACCCTCGGTTAATTCAGACA